GTTTAGAGAGAGAGAATTAAAAAATATAGTAAAAGGTATTTTCGTAATTGGGGGGGGCGGTGACTAGTAATAGGGGGCGGTAAATAGCAATCCACAATAAAAAAGAGAAGAAGATGAAAGGGTTAAAAAATAGAGGGGCTAAAATGAAAAAAAAAAAGATAAGACACAAAATTTTGCGTCTGACGCAAATTTGCGTCTGAAAGAGGAGAGAGAAGGTCATCAATGCATTTTGCGATCTAAATTGTCGTTCGGTTGGAGAGAAATCTGCTGCAAAAAGTGGGTTTTGCGTCTCGGTTGGAGACGGTCTAAAATTTTCCCAACCCGCATCTTAAGCCTCAAGACAATGTAACGAATTTTATAAAATTTATTTCGTCATTTTATCTCATTTATATAAAAAAACAAGCCGTGAGGCCCAATAGAGCTACCACCGGGCACTCGCCGAGCCCTATGGGGAAGGCAACAGAAATTATTGACTGGAAGTCGACTGGATTTGGATTTTAGGGACTCCAAAATTTTGGGGGAAGGCGACGCTAGAAAGCTAGCTTGACATAATGTGATTTTAGGCACGACTTTTAAACACTTAAATAAATGTATTACATTTTTTAGTAAAGCTGTCCTTATTTTTTTTTCTTAGTATATTTAGTAGATACTTAATCTCTTTTTATAGTTAAAGATTATTTTATTATTAAAAATATAATGTAATTAGATATAGTTTTGTACAAGTATCTAATTATTATAATTACATATTTATTTTATTCTCATTATAAAATAATTTTACACATATTATGTAGAATAAAAGTTTTACTATTCATTGTTTCTTAAATTTCATAGTCATTCGAATTTTTATCACGTTGGGTTTGTTAGTGTATTTTTTTTATCTATGTGTATTGTGGACTTCATTTTAATCAAATCTACTCGTTTTTTCATGGCAAGATTTTATTTATATGGTATTATGATATTTAAAAAAAAAAAGAAAAAAATCAACCAAAAATTATAATACACCAATAGATAAAAATCACATGTAATTTAACCTAATAAATACATTTATTAATACACATTCCACAAACAAATATTAAAAATTGAATTAAATTACCAAAAAAAAAAAAAA